CCCCCTAAGTGCGACCCCCCCCCAAGGAAAACTTCACCACTATTAACTCATTTTTAACTGAGCCCAAATTATTGCAAAGATCAATTCTCCACCCTCTGGGGAGGACGGATCATCCAACTTCCATTACTGGGCCGCTTCCCACCAGGACAGGTATGCAGCAAATGCAGTAAATTTTTAAAAAAAAAACTACAAAACAACACAAGTGACCTCTCAATGCCCTACCCGGTCTCCAGGGTTACCGTCTGCCAAGCTACTCCAAGAGGGGCTCTCGAAAAAACATCCTATTTTTGAGTGTTCAACGGAAAAATTCTCCTGGCGAATGGCCACGTGGCTTTGCGGGCGGCTAAACACTTGTGCATCGTGCATCAATGAACAGCAAGTGCTTTCTGTGGCCTGTAGGCCTGAACCTCTCAAGTCTACATTTAGCTAATAGGCCAACCGTGCAATAAATAGCCTCCCATAATTAAATCATGCTGAGCTATTTCAAATGATGCAGAATTGTTTTGCGATTTCATTCCGTTTTCATGTGACATGCTAACGTTTACTTATAATCAGAATTCAAACTTCAACTTAAAATAAATACATGAACTCTACGAAGATTTAGCATTTAACAGACACACGACCCATGGGTGATACCATTATGTCGCTATAATATTACATCAATGAGCCAATAATAAGATTACAACTGGTATGTCTTTGTCTAGCTCAGTATAACTTGATTACCATGGAAGTGTGCTGTGCCTAATGAACATGAATACCCCTTATTAAATAACATCTGAAACACTGTAGGTGAAGTAAACAAGCATTCCTACAACCAAACAATAGCCTCTTAATTGCTGCCATTTAAAGCAAATGTAATTATTTTTGGTTATTTATAAAACAAAGCAGTACATAAGCCCAAATTAGCACTTCTTGCCTTCCAGTCATCAGATCTCCAGAATCATTAAGTGGCGATTATGTCAGGCTTTGCTGAAAATCATGTTGTGATTTAATCTATACACTCCTCTTGTGGTGCATTCTACGCTAACTTTTGCTACAGGTCCCTGATAGGCTAATGTGTCCTGTGGTCCACAATTAGGCTAACTCCTGCTGCTGTCTACGCTAATCCCTCCTGTGGCTAATGCTAGGCCAACTCGTACTACGGTCCATACCAGGTCTTGCTGCAAGTCCATGTCAGACTATCTCCTCTTGTGGTCCATGCTAAGCTAAGTCTTGCTATACGTCCACATTAGGCTGATTCTTCCTATGGTCTACACTAGGCTAAAGCCTGCAGCTATCCACACTAGGCTCACTCAGTCCATGCTAGGCTAACTCCTGCTGCAGTCTGCTCTAGGCTAATCATGGGCCTATATTGAAATGTGAGCATAGAATTTCCGTTCCAGGTTCCATCCAGCTCCATGAATCACAGTTCTGTGTTTATATGGCAAGAAAGCACCTTTATTCCAGCAGATCCTGTTCAGGACAGATGTGTGAAGAGGGACCACGAAGTGGCTGACAGTGTCTTTATGCACCTAAATCAGGGATCTGCTGACTAAAGGGTAGATAGAATCTCATTAGCCCCAATTTTGGAATGTTGATTGGGGTGACTGGTACAGAGTTTGGATGAGGCCCTTCAGATCAGTAGGTGTCTCCCAGTACAGATGATTGGTTTCTGCTTAAAAACGGCTGACTGCCTCTTCTTCTCCAGATTGTTAACTCCAAGAATCAGCTTTGTCAGAGTGGCAGAATCGCATAACAGAAGGATGGGACAGAGATGACAACTTAACTGGGAAAGGGGATTCTGCTGTTTAGGGACTGGGTAGGGACAGGCTA